TCACTGCCCTGAAACCTGACAGACACTGCACGCACTGCCTGAGACGGTACTGGCCCCAGGACCCCCATCCAGCAGTCAGCACACACACAGACTCACTGTCCTCTCGGGAAGCTGGCAGCCCACTTCGGACCACTGACCACCTCGGCCAGCTCCCCCTGCTCCTGGAACGCTTCCAACAGGTCTTCTGGGCCAAGGCCTGCCAGGAGGGTGACAGCAGCTTTCAGATTTAGGGAGAAAAGTTTGCATGAGCAGCCCCTCATCAGCAGGGCTCTGCACCCCACGGGACCCCTTCCACACGGCCAGGGCCTTGGGAGTCCCTCTTCTGCTCAGTGCCAGGGCATCCTTGCTGCCTCCTAAGCCTACTTGCTGCCTGGGGTGAAGTAAGTACAGTCCTACCTCTGCAGACCACGGCCAGGGCAGAGCTGAAGCAGGCCAGTCCTGTACCAGAGAGAGGCCCGGGATAGCCAATGGGTAGGACCAACAGAAGAGTGAGGGGGTCAGGTGGTGGGGCGTCAGAGGGGCAGGGCTCACAGGGGCGGGACACTGAGGAAGGGAGAGGACTGGAGAAAGGCAGAGATGGGAAGGAGGGAGAGAAGGGACAGCACAGAGATGTGAACATCAGATCGGAGTAGACTTCCACCTAGGAGGGGAAGTCACAGAGGGAGCAGAGATGAGGTAGAGGCGGCAGGGAGCGCACCATACAGGAATGAATCCATTTAAGGGGCGAGGCATCGGAGAGGAGGGAGGTTCAGCAGAGAAGCGGGATGTGGATCAGGAGCAGATGAGATAAAGCCTGTCCAAGGAGGGCTGCTGGGGTGCAGGCAAGGACAGTGTCCTTCCAGGAAGCCAGGTGTGGGTTCCCAACGGCGGCATGCTCACTGGAGTCCAGTGCACGTCCGTGTGGCCCAGGCAGCTTGGAGGCATGGGAGCACCAGCCTGGAGGGCATGGCCCAGGGCTCTGCAGATGCAGGAAAGTGCCCAGGGCATGAAGGCTTGCAGGTACCAGGAGGCCCCTGGGCTGCCCTGCACACCACAGCCAGAATGTGGCTCACACGTTGGTCTATCCTGTGCAGATCACCCATTCAGGCAGGCTCCCTCGCTGGAACTGGAGGGGCCAGCTAGGGCTTCCAGCAGAGGGTGGACAGGAGGGATTCGAGGAGTGAGGGTCTGGTCACAGAGCGCAGGGGGCTCCAAATACCTCTTCAAAGGAGCACTCACCGGAGAAGGGGATCATCCCCAAAGACACCCTCTTAGGAAGGTGAGAGCTGGCTGTGGCCTAGTGCACAGATCACTGAGACCAACCAGAGGAGCTCAGCTGGCCCTGCAGCTCCCTCTGCCCCATCTCCCAGCATCAGGCACACAGATATGAGCTGTGTGGAGGAGAACAGCAGGGCAAGGCCACTGCCAACACATCCACTGTCCCCAGCAGGTGAAGGGGAGGGGTCTCCTAGGGCCAAGGCCCTGCCAGACCACTCCTGCCTGCAGCCCGGCACTGCTCATGTGTGGTACTCTGCGTGGCAGATGGCAGCAAGCATTTCCAAGCAGCTGGCAGGAACCCACGACCAGCTACCACCCAGAGCCCTCGGGCCTGAGGACACTTAGTCAAGGAGGTACAAGTCTGCCCTGCCTGCCTGGGTGCTTGGAGAGGCATAACAGTGGGCATAACAGTGGGTGGAGGTATGCAGAGTCCTAGGCGTGCTGGAAACCACGCGGACTGGCTCTTCTGCCCGCATCACACAGGCCGAAACTGTAAGCTGCTGCTTAAGTCTCTTTTGCCCAGATGCCTTTCCTGCATCTGTGAGCTGGGCCAGATTCCAGGAGGCCTGTGCCACACTCCACACTGCTGAGGCGGTACCACCCCTATGAGCACAGTTGTGCCACGACTCCCCTGGCCAGAAGATGGTTCCTGTGTACCTCACCTTCCACCACAGCAGCCCATGGGTCCAGCCCCAGGAGAGAAGGGAAGCAACAGTCAGCCCTGACCAGCCCAGGCTCCAGGGACGCCAAGGACCACTCGCCTCAGCCCACGCAGCTAAAGTCCAGCTCTAGCTGCTCACCTGGAGGCCAGAGGCGTCTGAGCTGAGTCCCTACAGCTGCAGTCCCGATGGGAAGGCAGGCCACAAGAGGCCAGGAGGCTGCTGAACAGTGCAGTTTTGAATTCAATTAAAGCGATTATCTGTTGTACCGAATAAATTGTGTACAGCATCTCTCCTGCGGCACTTACTGCTTCAGGCTCATTATTCCCTAACTGTTTCCTCCTGTTTATGCTCGCTCAGATTAAACTGCTGATAATATGCACCAAAATAAAAAATGAGCACACCTTGTCCGTGGAAAATTGATTCTCCCCTTCCTGAACCGGGCGACTGTCAGGCTTTATATACTCGGTTCCTAGTGGTCATTAGTAATTCAATTTTCTTTTTATTAGCCCCCTTATCTGCTGAGCGGTAGAGTGGCAGCGCTGACCTCTTCGGAACGGGTAAATGTTTAAAATCTTTCCCCTGATTAATTTTGCCAGTTAAGAAAAAGAGGAGAAATGGCCCGGCTCTTAGCCATCACAATGAATAAAGCTTAATGTTGATTGTGATGGAATTTCTAATGCCAGAGAAATTGATTGAACGCAGCAATTACACCGCAATAGTAACTCAAGGGAGATGGGATCGGCTCTCCTGGCCGTAGCCTTTTGGTTATTTAAAACAATCCAATTTGCAAGGATAATTATGTATTAGTGTTTTATCTGCCACTTGAAATGAACAGGGGAGTTTCGATACTGGCCCAGCATTAGCAGGTTATTGCTGCAAATTACTTGATATCTGCTTTCTTTCACATAAAGAGGAAATTAGGCAATCAATTACCAGAAAAAGGTGGATTGAGGCTAGGGAGGGCGCTCGCACCCTCTGCTGGCCACACGGCAGCTTTGCAGTGCGGCGTGACACCAGGACCACATGCCGGGAGCACACGTGCTTCTGTGGCACCTGGGCAGTCACTGGCCACTCTAGAAGGAAAAGTGGCCTGGGGATCAGGGCCCGTTGAGGACACTGATCAAGAGAAGCCTCCATGCAGCCTCAGCCTGTTCCACCCCCCACGGTGGGGACGCCTTCCCACGTATGGCCACGCCCACCCATGCACAGTGCCCCATCCCTCCGCACATGGCCACGCCCACACACCAGTGACCCGGCCCACCACACATGGTCACACCCAACCACCAACAGTGGCCCCGCCCCTCTACTCATGGTCACGCCCACCCAACCACAATGGCCCCGCCCCTCTACTCATGGCCACACCTACCTATCCCACAGTGCCCTATGCCACTGCACATGGACACGCCTACCTGTGGTCATAGGCGCGCGCGCGCGCACACACACACACACACACACACTGACCCCACCCACTGAATATGGCTACACCTATTCGTCCAGTGGTGTTGAGCCACCATACATGGCCACACCCACCCATCCCACAGTCCCCCCACATGGCCACGCCCCTCTATTCATGGCCGTGCCACTCTCCCCACAGTGCCCTACCCCTAACCACCACCCAGATACCCTTCAGAGCCCAGGCCCCTATGAGGTCTCCAGCTGGCTCCCTGGCTCCCTACCCCTGAAGGCCCTATCCCCAGGCCTGCAGGATACCTGGGACTGCCCATCATCTCTTCCATTCCTGTCTCCCCACTGCAAACCCAGGGTCCCTCCTCAGGCTTGCCTGGCCCGCTCCACTCCGCGCCTCGCACTTGAAACCCCACGTGGCCTCCATGCTGTCACCTCCTCAGAGAAGCATTCCCTGACTACCTAACCCCAGCAGCACCAGCACATCATCCTGGTTCTTTTCCTCTGAGCCTGTCCCTCCTGGAAGAACTGACATGGTGTCAGCACATCATGTCCTTCCATCTACATCATCGAGTTTCTAGACTTGACATGTCCATCCCAAAAGACACACTTGTTGAGTGAAGGGGTGGATGGATGGGTGTGGAGTTGGGGGGACGGGGAATGGATGGCTGGATGGTAAATAAGCGGGTGAGTCAACAGGTGGGAGGGCGCGAACGTGGGTGAGTGGTAAGTGGACACAGATGGGGAGGTGACAGGTGGGTGGTGAGGCAGGAGATGATAGGTACGGGTGGGTGGTAGGGGAATGGACGGTAGATATGTGTACTAGTGGGGGTGGTCGGAGGCGTATGTGGATGGGTGGGCAGGCGGGCACATGGGGATGAGTGATGGGACGCCCCATCCCACCCCGTGGCAGCAGCCCGTGCTGTGGTCACTGTGCCTCTGTTGTCATGACCAGGCTCTCTCCTCTCTGGGGAGCAGCGTGGGCACTGGAGATGCGGGCCAGGGTGTAGCCAGAGGAGGGGCTGCAGCCTGACCGAGCTCCTGAGCAGCAAAAACAAGGTGAGGGGCATCCAGGCCAGTGTCCCAGGGAGGAAAGGGGGAGGTCCTCTGCCGGGGACCTTGCACCACGGCCTGGGCTGCAGAGACAACACATCCTAAAGATGGTGCCTCCCCTAAGGCTCCAGGGTAGGAGTAGGACCCCTATAACTAGCAACAGCAGGGCTCCCCAAGCACCTAGGCCTTGCCCCTGGAACCGGTTCCCATCCAGAGCTCCACCCTGAGAGGTTTCAGGCAGACAGAGTCACACAGGCCTGCAGCCGTCAGAGGAGTGGGAGAAACACCTGGGTGGGGGTGAGGGGCACCACCTGGGGCTGACCTCCCACGAAAGCCCCCCCGCCTACCCTCCCAGGGGTCTGACCAAAGATGTACCCGGTACACCACAGCCTCTTTCTATGGTCACGTGGACACAGACCAGCCTTCTAACAGCAAGCAGAGCAGGCTGCAGCCTAGGGGACCTCTGCCCCCTCCAGGGCTCCATTTCACCCTCATATGCTCACAGCCCACTACCCCCAGTCCCCCACTGCCCCTGTCCCTCACCGACCCCAGTCCTGCACTGCCCCTGGACCCTGGCTGTCCCTGGCCCCCACAAGCCCCAGGTTCCCCCGCTCTGGCTCCTACCATCCTTTGTAGGGAGGTGGGTGCGGCCCAGAGGCAGGCGGCACAGCCGGTGCCTGGAGATCTGCAGCAGGCCCTTGTTGGGGGTCTTCTTCAGGACGGGACTGCCTTTCCCCCGGGGGGCCTGTCTCCTGCGCAGGCTGAAGGGGCTCTTTACAGTGGTGGCAGGCGAGCTGGTCTTCTTGTCCCCTGGCAGGCTGAAAAAAACAAGGTAGGAAGTTCCCACCGCACCCGGGCCAGCCCTCTCCACCTGCCCGTCCTCAGCCAGGGGCCTCTGGCAGTCCACTGGTCCTTCACCATCAGCCCTGGGGACTGAGGGCCATGCTAGGACCAAGGCAGGGACCCGGTCAGGACCTCACAAAAGCCCCATGTCGGGGTGGGTGGGCAGGGAGAAAAGTGCAACAAGCAATGAATGAAAATCCAAAATCTCTGTAAATGTTCATTAAAATTAATAATAATAAAATAATAATTTTGAAAAGCCCCATGTCACCGTCACTAAGGGACAGTGTTTCCACAGGCTGCACGCAGCAGGGGCACCATCCTTCACCCCCTCCTGCCACTGCCACCGCCCTCTGGGAACCCCAAGCCACCTGAGGGCAATGCCCAAGCCCCACAGCCCGGTGACCAGGACCTCAGTACTGGCCCACCCACCCGACCTGCCCACACATACCTGGCACTGGGCCGCCGCCTGATGATCTTGGTGCGGCTCTTCACCTTGTACCCCGAGAGTGAAGTTTCCCCAAAAAGTGTCTTTGTGCCACTGGATCCAACTGTGAGCCTGTCCTCAGGGGGCGACTGTGACAGGACAGGAGACAACAGGGCAGCACGGTCCCGGGCGCTGGCCTCTGGCTGCCAGTGGAAGGAGGATGAGGAGGACGAGGTGCTGGAGGCTTTCCACTTGTACTTGCTCGAGGAAGCTACAGGCCTGGGCTGCGGGGCGGCCTTCCTGGCCTTGGCGTCCAGACCCAATTTGAGCTGTGGTTTCCCCGCCCTCTCTGCCAGGCTGGGGCCCCTGCCCAAGTTCTCTGGGGCTCCTCTAGGGCTCAGGGCCCTGCGGGTGGCCCGAGGATTCTTGGCTGACGCAGCCACCCACTTGTAGTTGTTCTTCCGGAACTTGCTGGTGCGACAGGACGCAGGCAGCGAGGCTTCCCGGGCCACCCTGGGCCTGGGCCTTGGATCTGACTGATCTGGGCGGCTGCCTTCCACCCTCCTGGTCCCAAAGAGCTGAGTCCCGCAGCTAACCGCTGAGTTCAAGCCCGGCTTCCGGCCCAAGGCCCCACCGCTGCGCTCAGGTGTGGCAGGCAGGCCACGAGCCTTGGTGGTGATGGCGCCCTCGCTGACTGTCCGCTGGGGCTCCGAGGTGCTCCCACTTACAGCACTCCCGGACCTGACCACCCGGGCCCTGCCCGGCTCCTTCTGGCACACCAGCAGGGGGTCAGCCCCACGGCAGCGGGCCCTGACTTGGCCAGGTTTGGAATGCTGGAGTCTCCCACCAGGGGCCTCACCCTCTCCCTCTCTGGGTCTCTGGTCAGTCCAGGAAGTGGCCTGGCATGCTTCTAAACGGCCGCTCTGGGCCCCTGAGGGGCTGGCAGAGCCCGATTTGGCTGATGGCTTAATTTTGATGACCATGTTCTGATCAGGGCTGAGCTGAACCTGCCTCTCCAGGACACAGGCCTGGGGGTGCAGCCCCTGAGCGGGCTGCGCATCCTGGCTGTCCAGCACTTCCGCGTGTCCTGGAGGCTTGTTGACCAGGGAGTACTTCTTCCGCCACATGGACCCGTGGTGCGGAGCAAAGTCCCTGCGGGCATGGCCAGAAGACCGCGCATCAAAGGCCCTGCCACGGTGGCAGGCAGGTGGCTGCCAGCGCGAAGGGGCTGAGATGCCTTGGGCAGGGGCACTGCCGTGAAGGGTTTTGTAGTCATCAATCAGACCTGGGAAGACAGAATCACACGTGACCGCCTAATCCACAACCTCAGCTCTCCTAAGCCATCTACTGGCAAGATGGCTACAGCCGTTAGTTCCCACCCAAAGGAGCTGGGAGTTGACAGCCATCACCTCCCTCGGGAAGTGGCCCCGAGATGACGTGCAGCTGACGACTCTGAACTGTGGCTCAGGCAAAAGCTATCAAATACACACACTATGGACCACCAGAAAAATGAACTCTCTGTTGGCAGAACTGCAACCCAAATGCTCTTGGGGGCATGGTGAGACTTCGACGTACCTGGGCACCGTTCCGGGAGTGGCTGGTACTAAGGCATGAGGTGCTCAACAACAAGCAACAGGATAGAAAAACCACGTACTCTCACACAACGGAATATTAGGCAGCAGTGAAAACAACTCACTCATGAAGCTCTCCCTGACACGGGAGAGGACACCACGCGAGTCACACAAGGATGAGTGTTACATAACACTGCTGCTATAAAGCAAGACAGACAGACGGGGCGGGTGGGTGAGAATGGGAAAGGAGTGGCAGAACAGATGAGGGAAGAAGTGTCTAGAAGGATGTATGATTAGACCTTAAACGCATGACAACAAACTGGAACAAGGGGTGCACCACAGAGTCGGGAGGGGAGGGAGGGAAGAAAATGTGCAACAAAAAAAAAAAAAAAAAAAAATAGAAATTTTTAAAAAGCTAACTAGGGAAGGGGAAGGGAGGAAAAGGTACACCAGAAAACGTATGAGAATCCAGCTTTTCTGTAAACATTCATGAAAATCACAATCAAGTTTTAAAATAATAATAAAAAACGAGGGTGAGTGCAAGAGAGAAGGACCCTGAATGAGACAGATGGACACAGTGACTACAAAGCCATGACTGAGGACCTTGCAGAGGTCAGGCCAGGGTTAGATCTGTCACAGGCTCACATGGGTCAAGTCTGCCTGGTGGTCCCTAAAACAAGGTCCTGTCTGGATGATGAAATAAGTATTCACAGGAGAGGGATCCTCTTGACAGTAAGATGGGTGATCTGAACCCACCAGCCACCATGGGAGAAAGAGGTGTGGCAGTTCACTCTGTCAAGGTCAGAGATGTGGAACTCCTGGGGGGCACTCTGATTCTGTCCTGAGGGGTCACTGGGACTCAGAATCTGGATTTGAAGGGAAAAACCTCAAACACACTTCAGTCAAGTCAGAACCCACTCACGGTGACCCTCAAGCAAGTGTCCAAGACTGTACATAAATCACAGGTGGACACTGCCTGCCTTTCTCCCTCTGAGCTGCTGGTAAGCAAACCACCAGCAAGGCTGCCTTTGGGTCAACAGTGTGATTCCCTGAAGACCAGGCCAGCAGTCCTCCCCTGGCTTGAAGAGGAGAGTAAAAGCAGGGGTCGGTGTTCCTCCTGTCCCTGTTGCCCCTCACGGCTTTGATGCTCCACATGACATGACCATTCAGGGACCCAGCTCTCATAGACGCTCATGTATATACACTTCTTCAGGGAAGTTATTCTCATCTTGGTTTTATAAAGAAGAAACCAAGTCTCAGAGACTGAATGACATGCCAGGGCAACATGGCTTCAAG